AGGAACTCCCTATTAATGGGATCCTTGAGGGAAGTGAATCGTCACACCCTATTTTATCAGTTTCGAGATCTAGATTGAGCATGCTTAAAGGGGAAGGTACACAGTTAATTTGTGAGTCCATATAATTAAAAGATTAGAATATAAATTTATATATATATATAAATATAAATATAAATATAAAACAAATGTTATTGTCACTGAAATTGATTTCTAAGATTCCCTCATGGATTCAAATATCTCCATATCTTATTTTCTGCATTTCTCACATATGACCTAAACATGTATATGGTTAAATCTATGAACATCTTCAAAATAGCATATTTGCATTTAAAAACGGCATGTTCTTCTTTACTCTTAACCTTTAAAAGTAGCAACAAAATGACATTTTATATAAGGTTATTTTAATACTAAAGATCTCAAATTCACAGTCAATTCTATTTTTGACCACAAAGTGAAGCCCTTATATTTTGAAGATTTCTAAGTACCAATTCTTGTCTGATGCCCTTAACTTCTGCCTTGCTGACCTGTACTAAAACTTCTTATGCCTGCTAATCATATAACAGGGAAATGAATAAAGGATGCCAGAAAATTGCTTAATGGCTTGAGAAATCTATACAGAGGTGTAGGCACATTCTAATTAAGTTCTCCTGATGCTAAAATTGCAGAAAATCACAGGTTGCAACAGTAGAGACAGTGTAAGTGAAAAAGGCAAGGAAGAGAGAGCATTACCTGAACATATTGTTTAGATAAATTAAAATAATTTCATCCAAAAAAGTCTGACTACATCTTAAAGCCTTAAACCAAATCATACTGTTTATTTCACAACTTGGGTTAGTAAGAACATGATTATCATTTAGGAAAATGGAATTCTTCTCTGCGAAATTGTTCCCTAACTCAGTTATCATCACCACCACCATCATAGTCATTTGTCTAGAAGTATACACATTATCTTCAGACAATCTTGCTCTGTATGACTCAAAGAATTACAACTCAGAAAAATGGGTGACATTGGTAGGAAGACCAGGCTATACATTAAGTGACTCAAACCAAGGACTTCTGGCTGCTAAGCTCATATTCTTCCCACTACACTGTTCTAGCTCTTTCTCAATAATAACTTAAATCTAAAGTAAGCCTTTAAGAGGCTGCCAAGATCCACTATCTCATTAGATCTCAGTAATAATCCTGAGAAGTAAATAGGGCAGACATAATCTCTCTAATATACAGGACACTTGGAACCCAGGGATAAAATGATTTGTCCAAAGAGATTGGATCTAATGCCTGGTAATACCCATAAGACATAAGTAATTACTAAAAAAATACCGTGTGCTACTGAAGGATGTTACCTTTAGAGTAATCACATCTTCAAAGAAGTAGAGTGTATCTGTTACGCTTGCATTCTAGGGATGGTAAATACTAGGTATCTGTACTGCGTCTTTCCCACCATAATCCTTCACACACTCTTTCCTGCTGGGTCTGAACCCAGCCTCAGAATCTTCTTGAAAATACAGCTCCAGGCAGCCCCTATCAACTGACTGGCAAGATAAGCCACCCAGGTAAAACCTGCATTACTTACCCTGACTCTCTTCATTTAGGTCCCACATTGTATTACATTTGTTTTTGACATCCTTTCTTTGCTTTTCATTTGATAACTGCCATTCAAGCTTCTCACATTATTTCACGTGTGTATATACTGTCTTCTCCCAGTACCAGGACTCTGCCTTTTATTTATCTCAGAACATCAACTCAAAGTGTTCTGAGTGATGGAGACAAATGTATGGTATTTATGGAAAAAACTCAGGTTTAAAAAAACACACCTGGAACAAAAAGTTGCCGTTGTTTCTGATTATGGTTTAGACCAGCGTAAGTAAACTTCTCTGAAAGGGGCCATATTATAAATATGAGCTTTGTGGGTCAGGTGGTCTCTGACACACCACACAGCTCTGCACTGCAGTGTGAGGCACCGCAGACGATCTGTAAATAAATGTATCTATATTCCAATAAACTTCACTTGTGGACACTAGAGTCTGAATGTCCATACCATTTTCACATATCACAAAAAAAGGATTCTCCTCTTGATCCCCACCTCCCACCCCCAATTAAAAATTAAAAAGCCATTCTTAGCTTGCAGGCCACAGAAAAGCAGGAGGCAGGCTGGATTTGGCCCACAGGCTGCAGTTCATGGACCCTTGGCCTGGCTCTGAGATTTTCAAAGTGAGAATTTCTGGTGCTCTACAAGATCCAGTCAACAAGTCCAACTCCCTGTGTGTGATTGTGAGGCCGGATTTTCTTCGTGTTATCAATGACAAGAGACTGAACACAGACGCAAGTACAAGGGTCCAGCTGCCTTCTATTAAGGCAGAAATTGAAGAGATTTGCCAAAATGTAAAACAGCGTCTCTCTTCTCACTAATTCTTTATGGTATTATTATATGCATTATTATATTTCAGATACTCATAAAGCTGTTTATGTTAACATGTAATGGGCTTATTATTGATTTTTAAATGGATTATTATATTTTAAATTCCTCAGTTTTGATTTCTAACATGATGAATATCAGTAGCTATAACCCATGTGAACCAAAGCTCTCTGGGGCCCTCAGTAATTTTAAGAATGTAAAGGGATCTTGAGAGCAGACAGTTTGAGAACTAACTGCTGACTACAGCTGGTTGACTCATTCCTGCGGCACTTCCACCCACCAGACAGACCACCTGATTTCAGTCTCCATCCTGACTTCTCCCCACCTAAGAGCTTCCTGGCATTTCTCTGATTAGATCCTGATTTGGTAAAATGTAATCCCCTGCAATTGATGTTCTTGGATAATGAACTGGTGAAGACAAGGTGGCCATCTTCATGAAAGGACCTTCAGAAACATGCAGGCCACAAACACACATCAGCCTTTACTTCGCCAAAACAGGCAACGTGATGCAACGATTTCTCCTTAGCTTGTATTTTCAAACCTTAAAAAAAAGGTATTGGGATTCCTTGCCTCCATGAGAACATAGCTCAAAACAAACAGATTTCACTGGCTCCTTTATAAATCAGAGACCCTTTGACTTGGCCCCGCAAAAACTGTGGGAACCCTCAGGGCAGCCTGAAATCTAAAGAAAGAAAATTCATCAGACCTGATGCCAGTTTATTGGCAGTGCCAATGATAATGCACAGTCAATTGTATTTGCAACATCTTTAAGAGAGGATTAACATTTGGTTTGTTCTGTTGAGATTTAAATTTTTTTAAAGAATATTTTAGGAAATAAGAGGAAAAGTGGTCTTATTTCCAGTGTTACCATATAAGGAAACCTTATATAGGGAAGCATTTCTTTCGATATAAATTAACTTTGTCATAAGGTTGACCTGTCTATCCAAATGATGTGTACTGCTGGCCTTGGGAATCTTGTCTGGCCCCCAACCCCCAACCCTAATTTTAGAGAGATTTAAACAGTAACTATGATTTCCAACATTAATCATTTTGTTGAATTATACATTAACTAGAAAGTGTTTTGCCACAAGTATATGACTCTAAAAATCTCTTATGGAATAATAACTTTGTAAATACCGAAAAAGAAATTTGTATTTTAGGATATTTATCTTCAACCTGCATTATAAAATACTCAAAATAAAATAAAATAAAAGGAATTATAATCAGATACTAAATCTGCCATAATTTGTGATTTTGGCTCCAACTAGTAAAATAAAACACTTTTGGCTATTTTGAACAACACCAAAACTGAAATTCACTACCATCTTTAAGATCAGAAAGCCACTAGCAAATTATTACCTGTTTAGGGGATTACTACTCATTTGGGCAACAGTGCAAATTATATTAGAAAGATTTTGGTAGTTGTGATGCTCAATGAAGAACAGAAAATAGCCTTAAAATGTGGGGAAATGCTTACTGTTTAAATCTACAGTAAAAGCAAAAGTCTCACCATGATTGCAAAACATTTCAAATTGTGAAACTTAATCTGTAAAATAGACAAAAGTAAGCCAGCTTCCTCAGTTAGTTTTGAGATCTCAGCATCAACTTAAAGAAAATGCTTATATTTAAAAGAAAGCCTATTTCAAAACACGAATCCCTATACTTAGTACAAAATAAAGCCATAAATTGGTATGTCGTATCATACAACATTCCTCTTGTTCCATGTGTATGCAAATGAAGGCGATGTGAAACTTAAGTTTTTAAAAAACTGACTTACTCCACTCTTCAATTCTTTAAGCAATAAAAGTGCCTCAAGCCAAAAAGAAAAAAAGACAACTGATGCCAAGGTAAAAACAATCAAATTACATAAAATCGGTATGTGAATTTCAGGGAAAAAAAGAAAACAAGGATATGTGTACTTCACTGAGTAGAAAAGATGTATTGCTTCTGGCAAGTACTGTCTACAAAACGTTTTTTTATATGATAAATCATTTTCCCCATTCTCATCTTAAAATAAAAATTATGTTAATTAAAAAACCTGAGTACAATAAAGTTGATTAGGAAGGCAATAAATTTCAAAATCACATGGAATTTATACTATCACAAAGATAGAGGGATCAAGAGAATTTTGGTCCATATTTGAGAAGAAAAAATATAGTCTGAATAAACATTGTTTCTACTATCCCAAAGCAACAAAACTAGAATCAAGTATAGTTATTTTAAAGCTTGGCACAGCAGTTTAAAATTTGAAAAACACCCTTATTATTTTAATAAAATAATTTTCAGTTTTATTTTTCCCCCCATTCCCCTCCCCAACACGGGGACAACACAGTGTAAATTTCTGTAGCTGGTAGGGAATTTTCTTAGCACTTTGTGGAAACTGTTGGCTTTCAGAAACAGACAGGCTGATTTGAACCAAAAGTTAAGACAAAACACAGAATTGCAACAATAATAAAAAGCCATTTAGGAAGAGGATCAAGCCAAGCAGATAAGCAAACTTCATAAAATCAGCTTTCTGGGACTGTCCATCAAGTCAGTTCCCTAATTTCAAAAAGCCAAAGCAAAGCAAAGCATGCTGACTTACATTGCTTCTTCAGTTCTCTCAGCTGTTGTTTAAACTGCACAAATTTTTCATTGTTTTGAAAGTCTGCATCAGAATTCTTATTCTGTAAAGCCAAAAATTTCTTCTCCACTAATAACTTTAGATCTGGTATATTCTCTGGACGTTCTTCTTTTACCTGACAATGACAATAAAATTATCTTAGTTAAATGTTATCAATAACACAGTTTTGTAACATTATTTTTACTTCATCTCATTCAAATGAAAATACAATTAGGTAGAAAACAGAATCCCCTCACTAGAGAACCAAAGTGATTGGGACTTGTTCCAGGACAGATTGCTGGGAAAAATGGAGGGAATCATTCATCCCATCTACTCATCGCTTTCTTCTTCTTCTTCTTCTTTTTTTTTTTTTTGCTAAATTTATTGGGGTGACATTAGTTAATGTTAATTAGTTAAAAAGATTATATATGTTTCAAGTGTACAATCCTGTAATATATCACCCCAAGTTCAATCTCCTTCCATCACCCCCTTTACCTTTTCAACCACCCCCAGATAAGCACTTTACTGTTATCTGTGTCAATGAGTTTTTATTTGTTTTGTTTGTTCATTTGTTGATTTCTGTTTTGTTTTTGTTTTTTGTTAATCCTCACAAAGGATATTTCCATTGGATTTTAGAGAGAGTGAAAGGGAGGGGGAGAGAGAGAAACATTGATGTGAGAGAAACACATTAATTGGTTGCCTCCCACGGGAGCCTGAACCAGGGCTGGGGATCAAGCCTGCACCCGAGGTACGTGCCCTTAACCACAATTGAACGTGGCACCCTTCAGGCCACAGGATGACACTCTATCCACTGAGCCAAACCAGCTAGGACTGTTGTTTTCTGTTTTATATCTCACATAAGTGAAGTCATGTGGTTCTTGTCCTTTTCTGACTTATTTTGCTTAGCATGATACCCTCAAGATACATCCATGTTGTCGCAAATGGCAATATTTCATCTTTTCTTACGGCTGAGTAGTATTCCACTGTGCCCTAACTTGCCTTCTCCCCACAACTACTGGAGAAAAATGGCACACAGCCCAATGCTGTGAGCTCCACTGCACCAGAACCTGAGCACCACTTCTTCCTTTAACCCAGGTCTGCTGGGTGCCCTCCCCTGCTTCACCTGCAGCCACTCCACCCTCCATTCTCATCACTCCTCCTTTCTGGCCCTCTGCATCAGCAGGTGAGAGTGGCTGCGACCTCACAAAAGAAGTTGACACTTTAACCTTGAACTTCACCATCTGCTGCCACAACAAGGAATAAATGTCTCCTATTCTGTTCAAAGCTAAATTCTCAATCTATGTTCTTGGTTTTCCTCCCAATATTTTATTATAAAAATTTCAAATGTGAAAACTTGAAAAAATTCATTGTATTTTACCATTCATCTACTTCCTGGATGCCACAATTAATGTTTTGCTATGAGTGCTTTATCACACATCTATTCATCTGTGTCCCTCTATCTATCCTCAACCTTGTTCTCAAGTTCATTCTGAATTCCATCTTCATCTCCTTCAGAGCAAACTTTCCCCTGTAAGTGCTTTCCCCAAAGCCTTTAAATTGGTTCTTTACACCCATATTTAAAAACAAACAACCTCTTTAATCCCTGCCCACTCCCCTGCTATTTTCTCTCCAAGTCCAGATCCTTGAAAAAAAATCATCTATACCCACTGTTTCTGCTTCCTCATCCTCACACATGACCCACCCCCATCGCTGCTGGCCCCCACTTCTCTGCAGTGGCTCTTCTTCAGGCCTTCATAATGGGTCCCTTGAATCACTGGCCTTTTCCTGATGCTCCTGCCACCAAGCAAAATTCACCAAATTCTCCCATGTGCCCTGATACGCTCTGGACAGATTTCTTCCACAGCCCCAGTAATATTCGATTGCACTTATTTTTACATGTTTCTTTTCCCTAATAACATGTAAACTCTTTGGAAAATGTCTCATTTATCACTGTGTTGCCAGCACCTAGCACATAGTAGATAGTACTCAATACATATGTACTCAATATATTTTAAAGGAATTAATCTGATTCACTCCAAATAGATTTACCCATTAAAACCCACATTTTATCAACTGTTAATAATTATTAGAGCATAAAATACACTTTCTGAGCTGGAAGATAACTTGGAGATCATCTAACCTTGATACCTACCTTCTCCAATTTCATAAGCAAATAATATGATATAGAAAGAAGTTAAATGATTTATCTACTATCATCCAGTTAGTTAGAAGCAATGCTAAGACTGCAAGATAGATACAAAAAATTATTGGTATTGATATAATCTTGCTTAATTGCTATGCATTTTAATTAGCTAAATCAAAAATGAAAATTAAGTATAAAATCAAAATGCCTAAATTTATATTTATAGTACAGAGTGAAGGAATTAATTGTGTTCTCATTGCATTGATGAAACTCTACCAGTGCTGGACCCACCAGCAAAGAGAGTTGTGGAAACAGAGAGAGGCTTTAATGACAAGTCTTATATGTAATTTAAAAATTTAAATAAGCCCTAGCTGGTGTTGCTCAGTGGATAGAGCATCAGCCTACAGACTGAAGGGTCCCAGGTTGGATTCCATTCAAGGGCACATGCTTGGGTTGTGGGCTGGATCCCCAGTAGGGGGTGTGCAAGAGGCAGCCGATCAATGATTCTCTTTCATCACTGACATTTCTATCTCCTTCTCCCTCTCCCTTCCTCTCTGAAATCAATAAAAATATATTTTTAAAAGTTTTTTTTTAATAAGTCCTGTAAGGCTAAAGAAACAATAAAGCTCAATTTGGAAAAGAGAAGGTAGAAAGGCAATTTATTAATGCTTTAAGTCTCAGGAATAAGAGCTATTACACATGGTGACTACTAGCCTCTACCCCTACACTAAATAGAACAAGATGAAACAAGTTCAAGATTGCAGCATGAAGAGTTCAAAGTGGATATAGAAAATAAATTATGAGTTCTTTGAAAGGAATCATAGTCTCTTTTTCTGGATTTATAAAATATAACCAACTCACATCCACCTGAGATGTTAATGGTAATACTACAAGCAGGCATACAGATGAACCTTCTCCAGGTCTTTAATGAGTCAAATTATTATTTAATCTGGGGTGATCAGAAAAGATCTGGTCTGAGCAGATGGTCAGTAAATGCAAATGTTCTTTTTCAACACAGTCTCTAACTCACTCAACATACTTAATTTTCCTAATTTAACTACAACCACAGCTGAAGAGATGGAGAGAAGGGGGAGGGAAGATAGAGGGAAAAGCATTTTGAGGTTGACAGCATGGCAATCTGAAATATGACTAGGAAAACCTGAATAAACCAAATTTAGTGATTCAGAGAACTTTTCTTCCCCACAGCCAGAACCTCAAGAGAACTGCTGCACAGCACATAAATTCATAGCAGCAGATATCTTCTCTGGAAATCTGATGTTACAGTTGGCATAGCTACACACTGCAAAAAGAATTACTGCACTCTAGCTTTAAAAACGAGAGCCTGCAAAATATCAAATTCATTATCTGTTTAAAACAATGCACTACATGGGGATCAACTATATTTTTAATGGTTTCTTGCTTTGTTTGTATCTTCAAGAGAAACAGATACATAATCCCAAGAGGGAAATAAAAAAAGCCATTGGTTGGTAGCTGATAATAAGTGTTATGAAGTCTAAAAAAGGGAAGGATAGCCCTCATTTTCTAGGACAAATTTAAAGTACCTCCAAGAACTTTGGGAGGGGAAGAGAGGATCTATTAGATCCCAGGCCACCCCCTCCCTAAGGACAAAGCCCTAGATACAGGACCTGACACCTCAGTGAATTAAAGCACTGGGTACACTAGTATGCTAAGGCTGTTAGTGAGCCACAGACTGGGTGGCTTTAACAGGAGAAATGATTTTCTCACAGATCTGGAGGCTAAATGTCTGAGACCAAGGTGATAGCAGGGTTGGTGTCTTCGGAGGCCTCTCCCTTTGGCTTGAAGACAGCCGTCTTCTTGTGTCATCACGTGGTCTTCCTTCTGTGTGTGACCGTGTTCAAATTCTCCCTTCTTATAAGGTCGCCAGTCATATTGGATTAGTGCTCATTCCAATGACTTTATTTAAACTTAATCGCAATTTAAAGCCCTGTCTGAGGTACTGGGGATTAGGGCTTCAACATAAAAATTTTCAGGGAACACAATTCAGCACATACACTGGATTAATGAATTTTTTAAAAATATATTTTATTGATTTTTTACAGAGAGAACAGGAGAGGGACAGAGAGCCAGAAACATTGATGAGAGAGAAACATCAATTCAGCTGCCTCCCGCACACTCCCCACTGGGGATGTGCCCACAACCAAGGCACATGCCCCCGACCGGAATCGAACCTGGGACCCCCCAGTCCACAGGCTCTATCCACTGAGCCAAACCAGTCAGGGCGGATTAATGAATTTTTAAAACAGAATTCTTTAAATAGTTTACAAATGATTAATCTTTATACCACTATAATTTTAAAATGATAGAACTACTGAGAAGTAAACTTAGCAGGTATCATACAGACATAAGGAGAATTTCATACTGCCCTCGGGAGAGAAAAAGTCGTTTTAATGCATCACCCACTTACCCATCCAGTATTCAGTGAGTGCCCTCTATGTGCTAAGCAGTGTAGCTAAACAGGAGAGACCAGAAAAGTGGATGGGAGCAGATGGTAAACAACTCTGGGAGCCAGGCTATGCAAGTGAGCCCTGACCTGATATGCAGCAGAAAAGACACTAAAATATTTTAAGGATTAAAGCAATAATACCATGAGAAGTTTTAAAAAATTATTACTATGGTTAAAGTATTATAAGATGCCCTACAGATAGAGAGGGAGAATGAGGTTAATGCTGTATGTTAACTAATGGCAAAGGGGCTGGCAGGCTGGTCCAATTATAAATGCTATTTGAGAAGCAGAATGGCTGAGTCTTTTCGTGAGAGGAAGACCAGGACTGATGATGACTCTAAGACAGTCAATATTTAATATAGCCAACTAGCTACTAACATTTTCTTGGGAAAAAAGGGGGCAATCCTGAATGTCTGTTTAACATCTCAGTGGAGAGATTAGAAAGCGGTCAGAAAGACATTTAAAATGAGAACATGGGAAGAAAAAGAAGAGATGTGAAAGCAAAGAA